TTCTCATAGTTCCGGAGGCTGGAAGTGCAAGATCAGTGTGTCAGCATGGTCGGTTTCTGACCAGGGCCCTCTTCCTGGTTTGCAGATGTCTGCCTTCTTATCTTGTCCTTCCCGTGGCAGAGAGCAGAGAGAAGCAAGCTCTCCCATGGCTTGTCTTATAAGGGCACTAATTCATCACAAGGGGCCCTCCATATTCTAATCACATCCCAAAGGCCTCATCTCCAAACACCATCACGTTGGGTGTTGGGGTTTCAGCATATGAATTGGGGAAACATAACTTGTAGTCCATAACACAGACCAAATCCCACATTAATTAGTGCACCTGGAAGGCATCTAGAGCAATGGGGATAAAACCTAGAGATTTCAGCAGGAAGAGCATTAGGAGGATAGAGCTTGCAGTGACAAGAGCAATGTTGGATTAAAAGTGGAGGACAAACAGACACTGGAAGCAAGAAGAAAGAAAAAAGGAGACATGTACACCCAACGCAGAGAACCTGGGGTTGAATCAGTCTGCATGAAAATCTCTGAAGCTAGCAAAATATGCACGGCTAACGTGCCATTGGATGGTGGCAGGGTCATTGCTGACATCCTGTAGTCACTTGTTTCTAGTGAGCAGCCCTCCTGAGAGAGAAGCCAGGACCAAAGGGTGCATCCCCTTTATGCGGAATTTGGTGGGTGTGAGATACGACGTTCCGTGGCCTCACTCCCCTCCCTCTGTTTTCCTGAACTGAGGAGAAATAAATAATGGTGTCTTGGAGCATTGGTCTAGCCCTGTGGGGTTCAGGGAAGCAATTTCTGTAATCAGATGCTCGTTTCACCTCTGAAGATGAGAGAGGGAGCATTGTTGGTGTGTCCTCACCACACCTGCCTCTGCTGGGGGCCATGACAGAAATCCCACTCTCGGGTCCCAGAGCTGAGGAGCTCCTCTCACTCGCATATGCTCTACATTTTAATGAATGGGATTTGAGGCCACCAAGGGGAGAATATTACCAAAGCCAGGTATGGCTCCTGAGGCTAAGTGTCTTCAGAGTGTCTGCAGGCCACGTGTGCCAAGAATAAATGAAAACATCTTTGCATTTCCATGGGAATGTCCGTAGTCCACATCTTGTATTATTTCTTGACTCACAACTAAGGCATGGTCTTTCCTTAGCTAACAAATCCTTGTCTTTGCATGGAGAAGAGTGAGCTTACCCCTTCATGGTGAATTTGGTGATTTTACTGCCACAAACATTTTTAATGACATTCTCATGTGGGTACCTGAGGTGAGTTATGACTGTATTCCAAAGCTGGTTCCGTTTTCCCGGAAGCCACTCTTGTTCTCCTGGGGCTCATCTGCCTCTCACCGGGCTCTGATGATCTCGAGGCTCCTCATCCTTCTTTTATAAACAATTTAATTTCTCCCCTCCTTCTGGAGAGCAGAGGGTGAACGGTTTCTTCTGAGGAGACTCAGGTTTAATTGCACCTCTTATTAAACATACACACACCATGTTTTACATATGATTTGCAGGGATCTCGAAGGGGACTTGTGGATTCCTTCAAGCTTATCCATGTCCCCCCATTGAAGATGCCTCAGTTTAAATAGACAGGTTTCTAGGGCTTAGTGATTACCGCTGTCGTTTCAAACCCTGCCAAGGGTTTTGTGACATGTGCTTTTAAACATAAGGGGCTGGACCAAAGCTCTGGTGGTGGTCGTCCCACGTGGCTCAGATTTCCCTTGGAGAGAGAGTGGTGGGGTGTGTGGTTAGCTGACAGCCTCCAGCTGCAGGGCTTTAGGACCCGGCACGACGTTCAAGCACAGACCACTCTCTCCAGAGAGCTCCAGCCAGTGGCTGAGCATGTGGGGTACCAGGCCTGGCCATTTCTGCCAGTGGGAGACCTCTCTCTGGGCAACCTCTGCACACTGTTGGGCCAGCCTGGGAGCTGCATCGCAGAGTGAGGCTCTTCCTGCCCGTTCCTCCCACCCTTTTATTCACAGGTGTCACATGTCCATAGCGGCCTGAAGCCTTTCCCTGGCTACTTCTGCTTCTTCTCCCCTTTATCCCTTTATCTTTCCCAGGTGTTCCCCCCACCCCAATAAAGTTCTTGCACTTGTAACTCTGTCTTGGTGTCTGCACTCTAGATGGCCTGAACTGACACACTCTCTATTCACAGGTGACATCGTTGGTCACATCACACAATCCCACCTTAACTTCCCAGATCTCAACTTGGAAACAGTTCCCACATCTTGCCAACCCATTTCATCACAGAATTAGGAGTTTGCTGAATGTTGGGTTCATCCTTCTAGCTATGGAAGTTATTAGGGTTCCTAGTACCATCCCATTAAGGCTTCTGTAGGGTGTTTAGTTCCCCAGAGAAGAGACAGAGGCATGAGACAGTCAAACACATACTTTATTTCTGTATAGAGATTCTTCCCAGGATCCCAGGCTGGAAAACATGGAATCTTCAGGAATGACCCCTCTCCACTTATACCCGTCTCTGGGGAAATCAGGCCAGTGAGGTCAGTGCCTGATTCCCCTTTCCCCAGGGTTCCACTCAGTCCTTATGTCTCAGCATTCTGTGAAGAGGGGGGTAAGGAGGATAAGGACCCTCATTCTCCAGTTCCTCCCATAAAGGTCCCCCTCTCCACCCCTCAATTACTGTGGTCCATGGACAGTGAGTCCATGATGTACATCGGAGCTCCTCCCTGAGAAAGAACGAGGAGGAGGAGGAGGAGACAGGCACAACACAAGTATCACAGTGACAGCAATTGGATCCCACATTTTGGAAGTAACATAACAGACACCCCCCTGGTGTCTTATGTTGTTTTACTACTGGACAGTATACCAAGGAAACACATGTAGGAGATAAACACAGGGTGACACATTTCTATAATAAGAATGAGACCCATGCACAGTGCAAATCATGGTGTTCTTCACACACGGGAGCTGATGACATTTTTATAAGTCAAATGGACGTTGGAGAGTGAGTCAGAGGAAAGCTTGCTGGCACTCTCTGAGGGGCTCTTTTGCCTTACTGGAAACTGCCCAAGGCCATCCCACATTCCCTCTTATTAGGCACAGTGATGATGCTGTTCAACCACATCCCGTTAGTTCCCTGGGACTGACGGGTGGCTCCCTTTAGAATGATCTCAGAGGACTCTCATAACAAAGGCTCTCCAAAGGTCCCAGCCTTTTGCTCGATTACCTGCGCTGAGTGTGGGTTTCTAGAATCCTGTGGAGAATCTGTTCCTCAGATGCCTCCATGTTTTCTGGGCAGCCCAGATCCACTAGGCCTGGTGAGTTAGCAATAGGAAACATGGTGGGCTCCTCAGAGCTGAAGGAGCTGTGTCCCCAGCTTAGGGCGGAGTCCAGAGCAGGTACCCAAGAAATCCTTGTTGAATTCGACCTTAACTTTCTCTTCCATAGGTGGGATGTTCCCAACTCCTTGATACTTTCTTCTTAGGTGCTTCTCATAATCATGTCAGTTCTTCACACCCTTCTGAAGTGAACAGTCCGTACGTGGCATGATTCTCTATTGGAAGTATGACTAATGCTTTGAGCACGGACTTTTGTTGCCCTAAATTTTGTCTTCCATTCATATATCTGCATTGAGCTGGATTTATTTATTTAATACTTTCCATGCTACTTTGCAGAATATGGTTCTTGGGGTTTTCTGGCTTATACTATTGCTTCTTCCCCCAGGCCTGGTAGAATTAGAGCCAGCAGGGCTGGTAAAGGCTGCAAACCCTGCGGGGAGCATTGTTCTCCCCTTAACACTATGGACGCAGCACATGTGCGCTCATTATTCAAACGATGAGGAGGACACTGACAGATGTTACACGAAGCTTCTGCTTCCCCACGTCCGGACAAAGCACAGATCTGAGAGGCAGAAGGAAACTGCATGCTCACCTTCCGGAAACTCCAAAGCCGTATTAGGTCATAAAGCATTCAGTTCATGGCTCTCATCAGACTGACTGTCCTTTAGGGTTTGTGGGTCACTCTGTCTTATAGACAGGAGGCCAGCAAAGTGGTTGGGCAGGAAGGGGAGATTCAGAGAATCTGAAAGGAAGACGCAATGTACCTTCTTCCCAGAAGTGCAGCTGCAGGGTGCCACATCCTTGCTCATTTCATGTCTGAGCACATGCCTTATGAAAGTATAAAGTTAAGAATCTGGATTAGGGCCCCTGCCCTAAAATACCCAAAAGGCCAGAGCAGGAAGCCCACATGCTTGTCTTCCTTTACAGTGTTCTCCAGCTATGTAAATCAGCCAGCTGAAGCCTGTTGGAGAGATGCAGGCTTTGGCATGAAGCCTCCTGCTCTGTCAAAGGCCAAGACCTTCCAGGAGAAAGAAGGTACTCAGGGTTTTAGGATAAACCACATAATGTCTGAGATGGATAGTTACACATGGTCTGAGCAGTGGCTACATCTCCAGGAGGTGGGGATCAGTCATAAGACTTACTGCTCCTATTCTTTCCGAGACCACCATCTTTTTGGTGGAACAAACAAACAAAAGACTCAGACAATCATTGAACCACAGGAAGTTAATATTCCAAGGGACGCTTTGATTATCTAGTTCAGCCCCATTGTTTACAAATAAGGAAAGAGGCTCAGACAGATTAAGTGTGGTGCAAGTCTCCTGATTTTCGGTCTGTAACAGCCATTAGCAGGTACCAGTGGACATGTTTTGCCTGCATTGGTTGCTCAGGACGGTCACTGGGGACATCCTGTAGAAGAACCTGGGCTCTCAATCCCATGATGTTTAAGTATATTGAAATACTGAGATGTCAAAAAGGGTCAGATGAATGAATGCCTTCTTTTCACAGATGCTTAGAAGACAGGGTTAAATCTCTCATTCACATCTTCTGCGCAGCCTTCTTTTGTTTATGCTGTCAGATGAAGGCTGGTGTGATGTGAGCCACCAGCTGCGGGAGCTCATCTGAGTGTGACTGAGAACAACGCGACTGAAGTCAGACAGGGCTCCAGGCAAATGGGTCCGCTGGGTCTGTGGCTGTGCTGCCAACTCATCCTGAAAGGAGCACCCGCATGCAGCCAAAGTCAATTCTGGAGTATTGGGATGGGCTTTAGGGAAAATCTAGTCCAACTTTTCTCATTTTACAGGCTCAGCAAAGCTCAATGATTTGCGTTGAGTCACACAGCATGGAGGTGGTGAAGACAGGGAGGAATCCAGATTTTTAGGCTCTAGGATGGAATGTTTTCTCTACATCATTCTGACCCTTTCCGCGGCCTGAATGTTAGGGTGTTTCTGATGGTCTCCATATCGAGGAAGCATCTATGCATGATGTGAAGCAGGACAAAGACGGGGGTGCTGTACCTGCTGAAGGCCCTGTGGCCTACGACAGCACGTTGGAGGAGAAGCTGAAGCTCTCTGTCATGGTCTTGGAGTCGCTGCGCGAGGAGCCATTGGAGGTCAGGTCCAGGGACGAGGGTGTGGCCTTGGGGCCGTCCTCCGGCTCCTCCTCGTGGGCCCCCGCCACTGTGGAGACGGTGGTCTCCAGACGGCTGACCTTATACACGCTGCCTTGGGTCTGGAGGTATCGGGTGGACTTCATTTCCAGCCCCTCATAGTCGCCGGCGCTGATGAAGGGGCAGCACCGGAAGGCGTGCTTGAAGCCCACGCGGAACCTGGAGAGAGGGCAGATGAAGAGGTGACTCCTGGGGACTCCTGCTCAGAGGTCCTTCAGCTCTTTAACACATGGATATGCCCAAGTGGAGCTCTGCTATTGTTTTTTAAATTAACTGACAGTTGGAGATGCTGAGGCCAAAAAGATTTAAGGGTCAATCATCAAGGTCAAACTCAAGATCAGAAAAAAAAAATTCAACACTAGAACTCAGTTTCATGTGAAATGCATGCCTTTACTGAGGGCAGCCGCTGAACTATGCTGCCTTCTCTGGTGTGGGGTCAGCCAGGCTTGGGGTCAATTCAACTCCACAAAAAACATGCACCAAGTGTTTACCATGTACATGGTACCGTGCTAGTCACTGAGTGGTAAAAACACATCTCAGGATTCAGTCCTCTCACTCAGTAGTAGCCCTTTGACTGAAAGGGGACTTCCTGCCAGTCATGTTCCTGCAGCTTGCCTCAGTTTCCATGTTTGTAAAACAAGAGAGTCAGCCTTTACTCAAAGACATGCTCGGAGATTTAACCTATAAAAGTTTAGGCAGGTCATCAAATTCTTAGGAGAAGGATGAATCTGTGAGTCAGACTAACAGAGACCATTTGGACGAGTTGAAGAGAATGTCTTTCCCCAGACTCATAGTGCCCGAGTGTCTCATTCACAGAAGGCACTTTACAGGCTGAGGACTGATGGATACAAAGGCTGTGAAGCACCTGTTCGTCCTCTTCCTCAGCCGCCTCCTTCCCCACCCGGAGGCTGGGATGGTGCTCTGGATCACAGACTTGCTGTGGCCTTGTGTCCCTGCCCCTCCTGGACTCCTGAATGCCCACACCCCCCGTGGGCTCCCCCTTCTGCTACTTGTCTGAGGTTGGCTTCTGCTGCAGGAAGGCTCTCCCCAACCCATCTGACCAGGTGAGGGCAGGAATCAAACCTTTCTGCTTACCCTGTGCTGCTAGAACTGATGGAAGAAACTGGGGAAAGCTGCCCAGATCATAAGATGGGATGGGAAGAGGAAAGTGAGAGAACAGAAGAAGGGAGAATGTGCTCTTTGTGGATGGTATCTAGTGCCACCTCTCTCTCTCTCCACCGGATCCACAGGGCAGAGTGAGCAAACTCACAGGACATGGACTCGAGACTGGATCCAGCTTTCAGGCCTGTTTTCTATGCACCAATCACAGAGGTTTTTAATTACACGTGCCCCTGAGATTTCTGGTTCCACTTGGAAAAGAAAAAATATCAGTCCTCCCTGGGCTCGCATTCCTGCCTGGTGACAATCAGCAGGGGCTGCATAGTGTGGTGCTTAGTTTGCAGCAGTCCCCACCTCTCCATCTTGTCTCACAGCTGGCTTTGCCAGTCCAGGGTGGCTGCTTGGCTGCTGTGTGGACAGATGGTCTGTGGGCCCTGGAGAGAGTGTGGGGGATGGGGTTCCCACCTGTCATTCAGGCAGCAGTAGATGATGGGGTTGTACATGGTGGAGCTCATGGCCAGCCACATGATGGCTAGGTAGACCTGCTGGATAAACTTCTTCAGGTAGAGATCCGGGTTGATGTAGGGCAGCAGGAAGAAGATGTGGAAGGGCAGCCAGCAGATGGCAAAGGTGCAAACCACGACGATCATCATTTTGACCACCTGGCAAGAGGGCGAGACAGGTGAGACCACCAGTACATCCTCCTCCTCTCATGGCTGCTTCCTCTCTCCTCCCACCCACTCACTGTGCACAGTGTGGGATGGGGTGGGAAGTGTTTAAAATCACCCCTTTCGAGGAGGAGAAAGATCTTTAATATGTGGTGCTAAAGGACTTTGGTTAGGTCAGCAGTTCTCAGAGTATGGTCCCGGGACCATCACCACCACCATCACCATCACCATCACCATCACCTGGGAACTTGTTAGAAATGCAAATTCTTGGACCCCACCCCAGACTCACTCTAAGGATGGGCCCCCAAATTCTATGTTTGACAAACCCTTCAGATGATTCTGATGCATTCATTTTGGGGGACTGCTACGTTATATTATCCTTCTGGGCAATGACTGGAGAAGCCGAGGGAGATCACGTTAATAAGCAAAGGTGAAAGGGTATTCTGGAGAGAAAGTTCTGGTGCGGGGAGCAGCAGAAGGGTGGGAAAGGGAGGGCAAGGGCAGGCTGCTTGGGTGGAGACCGAGGGGGAGGGGAGGAGAAGGGACGAGATCTGGACAGCTGCAGCAAGGGAGTCCCAGACGGTTAACAGGGATTTAAAAGAAGGTCTTATGAATGCTGGGTGATATGGTCTGAATGTTGTGTCATCCCAAATTCATATGTTGAGATCCTACCCCCCAAGGTGATGGTATTAGGAGGTGGGGCCTTTGGGAAGTGATTAGGTCTTAAGGGCAGAGCCCTCATAAATAGGATTAGCGCCCTTATTAAAGAGGCCTGAAAGAGACCCCTCACCCCTTTTGCCACATGAAGACACAGCGAGAAGGCACCATGCACAAACCAGGAAGTGGGCCCTCACCAGACATTAAATCTGTCGGCACCTTGATCTTGGACTTCCCAGCCTCCAGAGCTGTGAGAAGTAAGTTCCCAGTCAAGGCTATTTTGTTACAGCAGCCTGAATAGACTAAGACACTGGGTGATGTAACCCTATTCTTTTTATCCCCAAGAAATCTTCAGCAAAGAACTACATAGCATTCATACAATGAAATACTATGTAAAGAAGTACCAAACGGAAAAAGAATGAGAAAACTTTTCGTATATTGATTTTCAAAGATCTTGTGGATTTTAAGTGAAAAAAGTAAGAAAAGAACAGTGTGTATTTGCTATTTGTATAAAAATAAGAGAAAATAATATATATTTATTTGGCCTGTAAATACCAAGATCTAAAAGTGTTAACAAGAAACAACAAACAGCCGTTACCATTGTGTGCATGTCTGTGTGCACACGGGTAGATGGAGGGCCTAGAAGGGGGGAGCTTTTTTGTGGTAAGATCTTTAAAATGTTTTTTCAACGTTTAATTTTGAACTAATTAAGGTCTTCAAGAAGCTGCAAAAGTAGTGCAAAGAGTTCCCGGGTACCCTTCACCCAGCTTACTCCATGATACCATCTTACATAACCATACTATTAATCAAAACCAGAAAACTGACTGTTTACCAAACTACAGGCTATTTGGCTTTTTGCCAGTTCTTACATGCACTCTCTCTCTCTCTTTTTTTTTTTTTTGAGACAGAGTCTGGCTCTGTTGCCCTGGCTAGAGTGCCGTGGTGTCAGCCTAGCTCACAGCAACCTCAAACTCCTGGGCTCAAGCGATCCTCCTGCCTCAGCCTCCCCACTAGCTGGGACTACAGGCATGCGCCACCTTGCCTGGCTAATTTTTTCTGTATATATATTTTTAGTTGTCCAGATAATTTCTTTCTATTTTTAGTAGAGATGGGGACTCGCTCTTCCTCAGGCTGGTCTCAAACTCCTAAGCTCAAATGATCCGCCCGCCTCAGCCTCCCAGAGTGCTAGGATTACAGGCGTGAGCCCCCGCGCCCGGCCTGCAGTTACTTTTAAGGAGCAAGCAAGCTGGCTCATGCCTGTGCAGCAGCCCTGGGTTAAAATGACACGGAGCTAAGGTGCCTCCGGTCCTCTCCGCTGTTCCCCAGACACAGGGACGTTTCGTGGCTGCCGCCTCTGGGGCTCCCCAGCTTGCCAGCCCTGCTTGCCAGCCTGCTGCGTGTGTCAGGTGGGGTAGGTGCCGCCTGCCCCTTGCTCACCTTGCGCTTGGCAGAGACTTGCTCGTGGTATCGGTCCGAGGAGTCTCCAGGGATCTCGCTGGCCCACAGCGTGATTCCCACCACGGTGTACGCATAGCCGATGACCAGCAGGGGGAGGAAGTAGATCAGCACAGTCACGCAGATGTGGTACCTGCAACGAGGTGAACCAGATGGGTCAGTCTGAGGTATTTCTTAAGTCAGATTTGTTTTTGTTTGTTTTTGTTATTGTTATTACAGGGTGGTCAAGGTGTGGCAGCTGCCCTTCTTCAGCATTTGCCATTAATAAGCTCGGGCTGTAAGGCACACCTCAGGGAGACTTGCCACCTGCGTAGGGTGGATGGGTGATATTAATGGATAAACTAGAGAAAGCAAATCTCTTCAATTTATGTTTTTCTTGTGGACTTTTTCCATAATAGAGATCCCTGTTCAAATTGAAAAGAAAAAAAAAGCACCACTGATGAAAGGGAACTGAATTTTCTGTATACCTATGGCAATTTTAGTTGATGTTAAGTTCAATATCACTTACACTCCTCTCTCCAAAAGAATGCAAATATAGGCTGCATTAATAGAAGTATATTCTCTAGAATGAAGGAGGGTATGATACCACTCAAGTCACATCTGTCAGAAAACACTTATGCTCAATTTTAGTGCAGGGATGTAGACCAACTAGTACATTCAAATGAAAACTACCAAGATAGTTAATAAGCCCCAATTTATGCCAGATAACAAATGATTTGTGGGTTTGAAAATAATTAGCTTGGAAGAGAGAGAGATAAGATTAATCCTAGAACTAGGATCCGAGATAAGACTAATCCTAGAACTAGCCACATAGTGTAAACCATTTCTAATCCTGGACTTAATGTATCTTTAGATAGAAACTTCCTGAGCCTCTGAATCATCACTTGGAGGACAGATGCCAACTGACTCACATTTGACCAGAGCAATGAGCAACAGACAAACCTTTGCTGTGTTAAGCCACTGAGATTTTGAGATTCGTCATATAGCAAAACTTACTTTACTCTGTTTAAGGCAAGAGACTTAAATAAGTAGGAGAGTCAAATATGATTTTTGAATTTTGAGAAAGGATATTTTTCTTACAGGGTCCTTGGCTTGTTATAGTTCTTTTCTTAGATATGAGTATAATGGAAGGGCTCAGAATTCGTAACAATCATCATCATCATCATCATAATGAGAATAGCTAATATTTGGGGGAACTTACTCTAGGTCACTGTGCCAATAATAATATTAATGATAGTATTAATAGTGAAATAGTAGTTAAATTTTATTGAGAGTTTATAAAAAGCACAAGGCAAACATTTTACTAGCATTATTTTATTTAATCCTCAAAGCAAATGACTGAGTAGGTCCCATCATAATACCATTTGTAGATAATGAAACCAAAGTTTAGAATTAGTTTGCTCAAAATCACAGCTGGTGAAGGGAGGGGCTGGGATTATAATGCAGGTCTGTGACCCCCAGAACCAGCTTCTTGTCACTGGAGAAAACCCACCCAATGATTTTTTTTCTTCTACTCTCTTTACAGTCTGTGCTTATCCTATGCAATGATTTTCTTCCAGTAAGGAAAACCCATTTATTCATTCAATTTCCCCTTTGTGGATATACTGTTTGCTTTGAATCACTTCTTTGTAACGCCTCACAGTTTTGCCACTTATTCAGCCCCCTCCGAACATTAAAATTTGCAATTTGAAGGTGCTTGAAGAACTCTTAAGTAACAAACCACAGATTCAGCCAAGCAGGGAGCAAGTACATTTGTTCTGTGCAGACAGGCTGCTCCGGTCTCACATTGCTTTCAAAGGCTCCTGAATTGTCACTCCCTCTGGAGGCCCCTGGGTTCTCCAGCTACCACAGCAATAGCTGTATGTTGTGTTTCCTATCTGATCTCCTGGTTGCTGCACTGACAGCGCTTGTAAGCCAAGTGTTTGGAGACTAACAGGGGCAGGGAGAACCTCAGAACCTCCAAGTTGCACCGACTTCTCCTACCTGTAAGAATAGCCGCTCCTCAGGCAGGCTGACATGTGGTTAGTGACCCATACGCCTTAGCTGACTTTGCCAGGGCATTGCCTCAGAGCGCTGGGCACTGATTGTTGGGGTCAGGGATGTGATGGGAGAACACTGCTACCAATGCTCCTTACCAGAGGTCCTCGAACTTCAGCAGGCTTCAGAATCGCCTGGTGGGCTTGTACAATCACAGAGGCCTGGCCCCTTCCAGAGCTTCTGACTCAGCCGGTCTGGGGTTGGCCTGGGAACCTGCATTTCTAACAAGTTCCCAGGAGATGCTGACACTGCTGTTCCTGATTCAGACTCTGAGAAACGTTATCTTAGGGCAACATTTCTCAACGCCAAGTGCACATGAGAATCACTAGGGCAGCTTAAAATGATCAGTGCCCAAAGGTATTCATTCAATTGGCCTGGGTGTGGGAGCAGGAAGCTATATTTTAGAAAATTCCCCAAGTTATTCTAATAGATGGCTAGCATTGAGAACCACCGCTTCAGATCCTAGGTCCGGAAGCCTGTTGGGATCCCATTGTTGTTTGTGATTTAATGACTCTATTAAAATGTGTATTAATCACGTTTTCTGGTTTCGGTATCTGCCCGTTAGTATCTGGAGCCTTTCTGATCAGGGAGGGACTGCCCCTTTCAGGCCCAGCTAATTCCTAGAAGAACAAATGACTCTCAGCTAGGGTGCCTTTTGTATGCAAACTAACTAATCCAAAGCCCATACCCCACACCAGCCTGCTTTATAGGGTTCTTATGCTGGAGGACACTATTCTTCTGCCCTAACCACCCCAAGCCAGGCATCAGGCAACTAGGGGCAGCTCCTACACCCTGGAGCCTACTGAAATTATTCAAACTAGTTAATACTAAACCTGCTCACCCCACCTCACCTGTTCCTTCCTGAGAAACCCCAAGAAAGGCTTTCCTGGGTGGCATGGCAGTGGTATGGGCCCTGCCCCTTCAGCTTGGGAACTGTGAGTAATAAAGTATCTTTTCAATGGCGATCATGTCCTGATCTGTTGACCTCACCATAGCTGAATACAAAATAAAATCTACATTTTAAAACAATGTGCTTTTTGGGAAATCACAGATCAGGCGATTATGAAAATGCTAAGATGAATCAGCAAACATAATTTATCAGTCTTTTTTATGCTTCCCTTTTTAAAGAAGGAAAAATGACTTTGTTATTTCTTTGAAAACAACAAAAAAATGGGCTTAATTTCAGCTAAAAAGTGTTATAGTCAGAGGGAGCATCCGTTGGCTTTTCCATGGTCTAAGAGGGATAATTAAGAATAACATAGGAATATGATCGAGCAATTCTATTTCTACATACAGACTCAAAATAATTGGAAAGCTGGAACTCAAGCAGGCATTTTTTGAATCTGCACACCGACATTATTCACAACAGCCAAAAGGTGGAAACATCCCAAATGTCCACTAACAGATGAATGAACGAACAACATGCGGTGTGTACATGCAGTGGAATATCATTCAGCCTTAAAACGTGACATTCTGACACACGCTACAACATGGATGGACCTTGCAAACACTCTGCTAAGCGAATAAGCCAGACACAGAAGGAAAAACACTGTAGGATCCTACTTACACGAAATATCTAGAATAGGCAAAGTCAGAGACAGAAACGGATCAGAGGTTACCAGGGGTTGGAGGGAGGGGGCGGGAATTACTGTTTAGTGGGTACAGAGTCTGAGATGAAGCAAAAGTTCTGGAAGTGGGTAGTTGTGATGGTTGCACAACATTGTGAATTTACTTAATGTCACTGAATTGTATACTTTAAAATGGTTAAAATGGTAAATTTTGTTATGTGTATTTTATCACAATAAAAAAATTAAATAAGAAATTATGTAAGAAAAATTTAGCCAAGCTGGCATTCTAGGTCTCCAGGTTTGCAGTCTTTCACTCCTGCCAGGCACTCCTTGACAACCACTCCTGCCCTCAAAAAAAGGCAGGTTTGGCTGGGATCAAAGGTTAAACACATCCTTCTAAGTATCGCTCAGACAAACACCCTTTACCTTTACACGGAAATTGGAAATGCTTACTCCAAACCATGTCTAGGTTATCAAAAATTCTAAATGAATGCAGATCTAATGAATGAAATTCCGTCGTTAGAAAATATGAAAATAAATACATTTCTTTCACCATGATACCTTCTGGGAGAAATTTTTACCATATCCTGTAGTTAAGTGGAGATTATTTCAGAGAGCGGGTCAATGAACCAGTGTAATCTTGTTTTGTGCAGTGCCACGCGTGTTTGGCTCTCATTCTGATATTGCCTAAATTCCTGCCAGGCAGGATTTTATCAGCTCTCAGAATTAATACCTGTTTTGGGAGAAGAGATCTGGGGTCAAGGATGCGCCAGGAGTGAGCCAGAGACAGAACCAGGCGTGGCAGCAGGAGGCAGCGACAGAAGGACTGCCTGGTCCCCACATGATGAAATATGTGCAGGGTTGGTATGATGTGAGGGAAGCTAGCACAGTGATCCATTGATGGACTTATCGGAACACTCAGAAAGAAGGCTCGTGCAACAACTTCATGCCTTTGTTCCCCCTAGTTCTCTCCTTTAAGCGGCGAATGTGGCTTGGCGTGTTTTGCAGGATAAGCTTGCTGAGTACAGACCATGTAGCTCCAAATCCTGCAGACCCCTGTGTTCTTAATGTCCTAATATCTTAATGCTCACTAATCCAGGTTTCCTTATGTCTCACTAGCTGGGGTAACCTCATTGTTCAAAGCATCAACAGTTTCAATTTCTGAAATAATCCTCAGTATTTGAAATCAAGATCAATAGGTTTATTAAATAATATCTAAGTGTCTTCATAATGTACTTGGTAGAGACTCTAGTGTCTTGGGGTGGGGGAAGAGAGAGGCCAAGAGGGCATAGCTCTGGGTTCTCCATCTTCAGTCTAATGAAATAACTCTGCTTTGCTGGGTTTATATATTTGATTTCTGTGGATGACTTTGTTTGGGGGTGGGTGGGTAGATTTCAGCTGTTGCAGAATGTTGAAGAGCACTGATGTAATCCCAACCTCCATCCAGTACATTAACTCTCTCTGCATTATTCATACCACATGATCATCCAGCACCTTCTTGAATACTCCCTGTGACATGCTGCTCACT